ATCAGTTATAATTGGCAAAAGAATTTTGCGATGCAAAACAACCGCAGACTACTAGTATATAGAATCTTTATTAGAACTATAGATAGACAATTTTTTATCCATGATAAAGGAGTTATAATTATACTTTAGTTACCCCCCCCCCTTTCAGCCGTGCAAATACCAAATAACTTCTCTTTCCACTTGTGATATTTTCCCTGACCAAAATCTGATCAGCACGGACTAAGTGTTTTGATGTGCTAGAGTGTACGGAGTAGTGACAGTGTGTTTACTTTTGAGTTTTTATGGAGTTTATTTCCTTTTTGTGATGCATTTTCCAATAAATGGAATTCAGGGTGTATATCACTTGACTTGTGCACATCTTCGAACCGATGCAGTGATCTTATTTCCAGGTATGGGTACGTTTACCTGTTTACAGCGTTCGACGCGTTTTCTCGACATGCATCAACTGCATAAGACCTGCAAATCAAAGACGCTGGTTGTTTTGTTCCATTCAAATGATAATAATTTCAATGTGTGTATACGGGTTTTACTGCTTTTTATTTCAAGTTTATTCTGCATAAATTGGTGCAGTGTAAAAATGCGTACTCGTGCAACTAGATTTTTCTTTCAAACTTGCATTTTCTTTCTTTTTCTTTATTTCATTTGATTCAAATCAATACTTATTCACAAATTTAATCATTATTCACGATTTATCGAATCTTAATTATTTATTAAATTGATTAAAACATCGTCGATATATTCAAATGTCAAACTGAAGCCAGCGCAAGAGATTTTGTGTTTTTATGCAAAAGCTTAGGGACAGAAGCAGAGTAGTAAAATGGCAAAAATGGTATGTTAATAAGTCACTTAAATGCAAGTATAAGACGATGTACAATGTTTTACACAACTATTGAAATTAACTTAACGATTCCCTTCTTCTTTTCTGGTATGTTATTACTACTTATAGCTATTTTTTAATCGGCAAATTGTTTATGAAGTTTACATCAGTGAAGACCCTAACGAGATTTTTTTAAAGGTTGGCTAATTACAAATGTAACAAATAAAATAACATAGATTAATTCTCAATATTACCTCGTCAACCATACAGTACTTGCTACCTTTTTCATCGGTTGATATATTACGGTTCAATTAGAAACTTTAATAATCCAGAAGGTGAAAAAGAATTAGATAGATTACATGATCAGTATGTACATGTACTGACACAAGTTGAACGAAATTAATGGCTTCATTTTGCGGATAAGATTATTCTATGGATTTATTGATAAATTGTTCCTATTTTGTATCATATGAAGAAAATAAGGCTACATCAATTTAATTTCGTGTTCGTCAGACGTAAGATAAAAAAACGTACGAGCGGGCAAGCGGTTAAATAATAATATAATTATTTTTTGTAGGCGATTTTTTAGGCGGAGAGTGTCACGAGGGTCCGACGAAAACAAACATTTTATTGGTGTGGCCTGATAACAAAAACATTTTGAGGTGAATTAGATTTATTTTTCTTTCTTATTTTTTCAGTAGTTTTAAAATCATCTTTCAAGAAAATCTTATTTGATTTTGTTTTATAATTTATGAGTTATTGAAACTCATATGACGATATCCCCAAAAGTGAAAATCGAAAACTATCATTATCTTCAATATCTCACCCGCACATCTGTCACAGCCTTGATTTTTCTTTGCATGAAACCCGATGTTCCTTTTTTTCTCATTTAGGTAAAACGAAAACCACACCCAATGATCTTCCATAAAGTGTAACAAAATTGCAAGAAATGAAATTCATATCGTATGTAAATACTGAAAAACATTTTTTATACCTAAGGTGCATCAAATGGCACAACAAGATTTGTTGACAAAGTCGTCGTCATCAATTTGCACTTGTTTTGGGTTTATTAGCGGTTTCCCTAAGTGACGCCATACATTTTACGGTTCAGTAATTTTGAACACTAATTTTGGTGCATAGTAACTAACATTCTCATCTGACAAATTTTCGTAATTTTTCTGTCATGCGGTCATAAAAATTTCGAATATCATACTATCATGCGTTTCTTTTCCCTTTAGTATAATTTTTTGTCAAAAAAGATTTATTTTAGCAAGAAAGCCACAAGCACTAAATTGATTCTGCAAAATTTCTTAACCAATTACTATGCTAATATATACTTTAAAAAGTATTACCAAAGCAAGTGCCTGTAACATAGCACCAATCATCTATTAGTGTTTGACAAACCTATGATTGTGCATTTACCCCCATTCACACACATTCGTTACCACACAGCACTTGTGAAGACTTCGCTACGTTTACTACTTGCAATTACTCACGATCGGCCACGTTTTCAAACACGCTTTAATTGTAATAGATGCAGCGTCTATGTGTGAAGGGGGTGGGGGTGGATAATATTGCCAGAAAAGCTTTAATTTTTTATTCCAAAAATTGTACATACTTAGTTTTGAGTGATTGATCCATGCTGATAAATGTTTGGAGAGACGATTTACTTAATAATTACTTAATGCTTACTCATTACTTAATGATTCTTAATGCCCCAGTCACACATTCACGGATTAAATGCCGGATTAGCTACGGAAGCGATCCGGTATCATTCGTGGCGATATGTCTTTGACCGTGGCTTTTCCGTCTGTTATCGTATTTAAACGTAGTGATACTTGTATATCTGCGACAATTTTTGAACATGTTCAAAATTCCACTACGGATGAAACCACCGTAGCATGATCGTCGTGAAACTTACTAAACCGTTTTAGAACGTAGAAGTCCGTTTTAATTCCGTATAAATCCGTAGTAATTCGTATGTATCAATTTTTCAAGGATTGTTTCGATTTGATACGGAGAGCTACGTGATTATACGGTTCTAGTACGTATTTACTACGGATAAGAAGAGTTTGCTAAGATCTTTTTACGTTGCGACACGGGCCAATTACGTTTTATTACGAATAACTAAGGAATCTTAAGATTTATTACGTTTTTATACGTTTTATAGCGACACTGTACGGAGTACGAAGGCACAAGGCAAAATTCTAGGATAAAGCGTTGCCATGCATGCCATGCTTATCATTTTAATGTCAGTCATTCAGCTGACATTTATAAACCCTATAAAAACTGTGTGTCTGACCATCAGTAGCAAAATTTTTATCAAACATGAATAATCAACAACTGATGCTTGCTTTGGAAATGCTAGAACTAGACATTGACATTTCACAAAATGCCAGGGCAATGATTCAGGCCATCCAAGAACAGAGACGTGATCGAAGGCAGCGGAGATGGTGGACGAGAGATTGGCTTCTCCGAAGACCTATCCATGGCCAGTATGAAGCCTTAATGTCCGAGATGTATGCAGAAGATCCATCTGCATATAGGAATTTTGTACGAGTGGACCCTCTTATGTTTCAAGAACTGTTACACATGGTTACTCCAAAGATTAACAAGCGCAACACTTGGTACAGAAAATCTATTGACCCTGGTTTGAGACTAGCAATTACTCTGAGGTACCTAGCTACGGGGGACAGCTACCACACACTGATGTATGGTTTCAGAGTTGCCCACAATACAATCTGTGGTATAGTAAGAGAGGTATGCGAGGCCATAGTGTCTGTTTATTCAGAAGACGTTCTCTTGACACCCACGGAACCTGAACAGTGGAAAGCTATAGCAGAACAGTTTGAGGCTAAGTGGCAGTTCCCGCACACACTAGGTGCTCTCGACGGAAAACATGTACCCATTAGGTGTCAAAAAAATGGAGGATTGTTGTATTATAACTATAAAGGTTACCACTCTATTGTACTGATGGCTCTAGTTGACGCTGACTACAAGTTCCGATGGGTTAATATTGGCGCTCAAGGTGGATTTTCGGACGCCCAGATTTGGAACCAGAGTGATCTTAAACAAGCGATTGAAAGAGGATTAATGGGACTGCCAACAGCGACCCCTTTTCCCAGTGATGATAAACCCATTGGCTACTATATTATCGCAGACGATGCTTTTGGTATGAGGACCTGGCTTATGAAACCTTTCTCTAGACGAGGTCTTTCTTATGACGAGAGGATTTTCAACTATCGGTTATCTAGAAGTAGAAGAGTTGTTGAAAATGCTTTTGGTATTCTTGCAAATCGATTCAGATGTTTACTATCAGTCATGAATCAGGAGCCCGAAACTGTGCACGTCATAGTTTCAGCCTGGGTGTGCCTTCATAACATCATGAGAATGAGATACCCTGGGGACCAGAACCTTTTACTTGACCAGGAAGACGAAAGACACCAGGTAATTCCTGGGGCATGGAGAGATGGTGTTAACATGGATGATTTACAGATTACCAGGGGTGGAAATATGGACACATTTGATGCTAAACAGCAGAGGCTTTATATAAAACATTACCTTAATTCCCCAGTCGGGTCTGTTCCATGGCAGGACAAGATGATATAATGACTGTTCTAAAGTATTGTTAAAAAGTCAGAAATAATCAATGGATTATTACAACTTTCTTATCATTAAAACATAATTTGGTCATTGCTTGCTTATTATATCTGTAATTTGAGTGTAGAAATTATAGTAAATATTTGTCAATAGCACGCTTTGCATTCTCAAAGTTGAAGTTATTAAAACAAATTAAAAATGGACTTAAAGATTTGAATGCCCCTTTTACTCTTTCGTTCTTACAACAATGTACCGGATTAAAAATATTTTAGACACATCAATGACGCTCTAGCTAAGAATTGATAGTTGAAAGTAAATAAGAACATGAAGTGTATAGGAAACTACAAAACCAAGACCAATCTATTTACTCATATGCCGAATCTCAAATCGTTTACATGTTAACATGTACAGACAATTTTACCAGAACGACCCAGGTTTCTTATTTTTGATTATTACATCATGAATTTGTGTATACAGCCTCATACAATTTGGAGTAATTTACTGAAAAATTTTGCGGAAACAGGCAAATACCTAAACTAAAAGACATATTAACAAACAATAAAAAAACAAGAGGCCCATGGGCCTTATAGGTCACCTGAGCATTATGCAACAACTTTCCAGTGATTAAACTTGATTCATGTTTTAAGCCAGATGTTATGGCATTCACAATTTTGAAAGAGGCACCATTGATCATCATAACAATACACTTAGCAGTTGCTTAGTTTGTTTACTTAATACCCATACGCAGGGTAAGGGAAAAAAATGCATTTCAACTAATCAGTAATATTCAGCAATAATCAGTAGTGCCCCTACCATACATGAACCCCTGACCCTTTGGCCTTGTTATTTGATTAATACCAAGGAGCAGATTTCAAACCATTCATTCATTTTCAGTATATAAGTACAGCCCCCCCCCTCTATGGTACCCCTGACCCTGGGGCCTTGAAATTCACAATTCTGTAAGATATGGGCACTTGTCTATCATAACTATATGCATCATAACTTTATTTGTAGTTCATCTGCTTAATACCCTGGAGCAGAGAAGAAAATTTTTAAAGATTTAATGTATTTTCACTATATAATCAATAGAGCCCCACCATAACACCAGAACCCCTGACCCTGGGGCTATAAAATTCACAATTATGGAAGAGGCATTCTTGCTCATCATAACTATGTACTTAGTTAGTTTATTTATTTCCTAGGAGCAAAGGAGAAGATTTTCAAAGAATTCATATATTTTCACTATATAATCAATACAGTCCCACCCTAACCCCTGACCCTGGGGCCATATAATTCATTATTATGGTAGAGGCACTCTTGCTCATCATAACTATGCACTTAGTAAGTTTATTTAATACCCAGGAGGAGAATTGAAGATTTTCAAAGAATTCATGTATTTTCACTATATAATCAATAGATCCCCGCCCTAACACCAGAACCCCGACCATGGGGCCAAAAAATACACAATTATGGAAGAAACATTCTTGCTCATCATAACTATGCACTTAGTTAGTTTATTAAATACCCAGGATCAGAGAAGAAGATTTTCAGAGAATTCATGTATTTTCACTATATAATCTATAGAGCCCCGCCCTAACACCAGAACCCCTGACCCTGGGGCCAAAAAATACACAATTATGGAAGAGGCATTCTTGCTCATCATAACTATGTACTTAGTTAGTTTATTAAATACCCAGGAGCAGAGAAGAAGATTTCAGAGAATTCACGTATTTTCACTATATAATCTATAGAGCCCCGCCCTAACACCAGAACCCCTGACCCTGGGGCCATAAAATTCACAATTTTGGTAGAGGCACTCTTGCTTATCATAACTATGTACTTAGTTAGTTTATTTGATACCCAGGGGCAGAGAAGAAGATTTTCAAAGAATTCATGTATTTTCACTATATAATCAATAGAGCCACGCCCTAACACCAGAACCCCTGACCCTGGGGCCATAAAATTCACAATTTTGGTAGAGGCACTCTTGCTTATCATAACTATGTACTTAGTTAGTTTATTTGATACCCAGGGGCAGAGAAGAAGATTTTCAAAGAATTCATGTATTTTCACTATATAATCAATAGAGCCCCGCCCTAACACCAGAACCCCTGACCCTGGGGCCATAAAATTCACAATTTTGGTAGAGACACTCTTGCTCATCATAACTATGCACTTAGTTGAGTTTATTTAATACCTAGGAGCAGAGAAGAAGATTTTTTCAAAGAAATAATGCATTTTCACTACCTAATTATTTAGCCCCGCCCTAGCACTAGAACCCCTGACCCCAGGGCCATGAATTTCACAATTTTGGTAGAGGACTCATTGCTGATTACAATCATGCAAACAGTTTGACTGCTCGATGTCCAGGAGTAAAGAAGAAGATTTTTAAAGATTGCATTAATTTTAGTGGTTTTGGCCCCACCCCTCAGGCCCCAGGGGGGCAGGGATCATGAAATTCACAATTTTTGTTCCCCTTCACCCATAGATGCTTTATGCCAAATCTGGTTGAAATTGGTTCATCGTCAGAGAAGAAGCTGAAAATGTTCAAATGTTAACGCACAACGCACGACGCACGACGCACGACGACGGACGAAAACGGATAGCAATAGGTCACCTGAGTTTACTCAGGTGACCTAAAAACAAGAAGCCAAAAATAAACGAGAAAAAAAACTTTTAGCCGCATCTAATAAAAAAATCCCTTCGCTTCATCAATCATAAAGGCACATCTACTTTATATAAGAAAAGTTGTTTGAAAGTTTCATGAAAATTCATCGAGTGGTTTAGGGGGAGTTGCGGGTGAAAGATACGGACAAGACAGATCCAGGTGTTAAACGGGGGTATAAAAGGGTAACAGCGTTGGCATTGTTAGCATGTTTTACAATGAACAGTAACAAAGTCAAAATGATTTTATTAAATTTAAGAAAAAAACACGACACAACTAAAGCCACGTCTATCTATTGCAAAGACTGACTTTAAACTACAATGTTATATGGCTATAAAAGTCCTCACTATAGACATAAAACTATTAATGCAATATTCTTCCTAGAAGGTATAAAAATATAAAGAATGACACAATGATTTACAAGAGCTATTTCCATTTGTACTTTACTGTACCTATATAATTTCTAACTTAAAAACAAAAACCAAAACAGAGAACAGTTTAAATTTCAATATCACTACTACAAGACGAATCCATGGTGGAAAGGCTAGGGAAATGAATCAAATTCCTAAAAGACTCCGTCTGACCACCAGTATTTGAACTTGCACGTGTAGCTGTCGCAGATTCGAATGAGGGGCCGGTCGTGTGTGTAGCATTAGAACCGGGACCGGTGGAAGATGATGTACTTGAGGCTGACAATGTTGCGGAATACGACCTGCTCATATTTGTTGTTGGAATGGGAAGCATAGCAGAAGGAGGCGGGGGTTGGTACTGTTGTTGCCATATTGGTAAATATCCTCCAGGGCATGATGAGTAGTTTAAGGTCTGCAGACGTCTCGCTGTGTCGAAATCTGAATGCTGATATTGCTGTAAATTGTTAGCCTGCTGTACGCGTTTTGAACGAGCTTTAAAAGAATTTACCAACTGAAGAGATTCTGCCTGAAAATCAGTCCACAGTGAGTCATCAATCTCTGATATTGCCGTTCCAAACCACTGTGTCCACTGACGCCGTTCAGCTACTTTAGGGTCGGCTGGCTCGGCAATTTGTTCCAGAATTTTTTCTTTCAATTCAGTTGACTGTTGAATACGTTCTTCCAAACGCTGAAGGAAAACACTAGTATTTTCTTTATTTGCACTCTTCTTATTTTTTGTCATATCCGGCTCTTTACACGTTCCTGAGGACGAGGAAGGCGATATAGAGTCAACCCTATCATCTTCATGCTCTTCATCATCGTCATTTTCTTGTGAAGCAAGTATTCGTTCAGGATGTTTGTCACGAATTTTGGCGATCAGCTAAAACAGAAACAGTTTCTGTTATTAAATAGACATTAAAACAAAATAACAACAACATTCAGGCAAGTATTAAAACCGCACAAAACCTTTTTAAAACATGATCACATGAAAAAGTGCATGTGGCAACCTTCATGAAAACAAGTTAAAATCCTCTGAATATAAGAAAAGAAAAAAATTTATGGAACTTACGTCTACTCCACCTCGATTAGGTATTCTGTAGATATGTTTTGACAGAAATGATAATTTTTCCAAAATCCACTTGTCTCTGTCTGACAAACGACCCCCTGATCCTGAAGGCCGTTTTGTCAGCTTACCATACTGCGTGCGTATGCTGTCCATCCAAGATTTTAACCTTGGTCCTGTGGGTATAAGAAAAAAAAGACTTTATATTATTAATCTAACACTCATTCAAATATCTCCTTAGTAGCTAAAACTGTATATTTTTATAGAAAAATAAATTAAGTATGGCAATATTCAATTTCTAAAATAATGACTCCTAATATTAATGTTATGTTCCAAATTTGGTAATTGAAATGTAGATAATATATTCCAAAGACATTGTATCTCACCATCACAAACGCCAAGCTCTTCTGCCTTTTCTTTCCATAGGGCATTTTTCTTCTCGGTAAGTTTGTAATCAGCATTGCCCTTATCATACAAATATTCATGCTCTTGGAACCATGACACTACATCATCTTGTTGAATGCTAGTTAGGTAAAGGGGCTGAAGCCGGGTCTTTTTACTGGCTACTCCAGTATCAGAAGATTTGTTGTTTTCCGGAGCATCCTCGCTTGCTTGCGTTATACAAGTTTCATCCACCGCCTGCTTTTTACTTTTTGCAATTACTCGTTTACAAGATCTTTTTTGGGTGGCATCTTTATTCGATGGAGTTTGGAAAAGAACTGAACTGGTGTACGGATTCCACGGACTGTGTAATAATCGTGATTGTCCGAGAAGTCGCGTGGTGAATCGTGGCGTCCGTAAAAGACCGATTTTATCCGTATTAATCCTTACCTACACCGTAACAAACTGTATTTATCCGTAGCGCAGTTGACTTGGCACTTGTCACTCCGTATTAACTCGTATTGTTTCCGTATTAAAACCGTATTTTACCGAAGCAACCCATTTCAAACAGGCACTAAATTTATCTTTTTTCTACCTTATTCTTGTAAGTACGTAACAATCCGTATTAATTCCGTAGTGCATCCGTACTAACTCCGTATCAATTAACGATAATTAGATTTTCCGGTGTCAACCGTGGAAAATATTCCGTAGTAGAACCGTGGAGTTGATCCGTGAATGTGTGACTGGGGCATAAGCCTAGGTCACACCGTCACGGTAATGGACACGGATTGCAACGGTTAACCCCGATTTTATAAACCGTATGAAATCGTAATGCTAATGCGATTTTTTGGCGCGAAAAACAAACGAAACGGTTGTTTCAAGATTATTGAACGGTTCAACAAGGTTTGGACACGGTTTTATTAAGGATCATGCCATTCACGCCACGGACACTCTTACAGACAACCACGGTATCCTGTAGTGATACCGTATAATGCTACGGTCTCTTAGTGATTGTTAAGCTACGGTTACGGCCAATCAAGTTAATGCTACAACGCCCCACGGCTCTTGTACGAGAATGCCACGAATGATCAAGATTTTTTAAGACGTCTTACGTCTAAGCAAGTAAAAGACATTGGGAATAAATGTAATCGCATTCAAGGTTCTTTGTACATGGACGCCAGCAATAATTTTTTTTTTTCAAAAATACCGATATAAAGAGGAATCATTGATCACATGTTACTATTTCATTTCTTATTTAAAATTACAAATGGTTCTTTTTTTATTTTTTAAATCCTTAGAAAAGTTGACTTATTTTCAGATAACTGTTATATATGAGAAATACATGCGGATGTGTTAAAAGCTATGAATATTTATTCAATATTTCTAGATCTAATCTATATTTACAATTTAGTTTATTCACTTTTACAAAAATCATTAACAATGTATTTTCTCTCAATATTTTTGTGATTTATTCAGATTAAGTTACGTTGCCAAGACACTCTTCCTGTAATTAAGTGTAATAGTAAGGGTCCTGATATATACTGGTTTAGATTTAACTGGCAAACGGAAGGCGGTTACCACTACTAAGTATCATTTGCCTAAACCAAAATTTGGTAATCTCTCAAGAATCTAGAAATGATGTAACGGATGAAAGATATGGAGATAATGAACAGTTTTCAATCTCAAAAGTCCATTCAAACATACAAACCAGGAGCAAAGAAAACACGGACCTCTAAAATATCAGAGGTGGGATCTGGTGCCAAGGTGGAGTGAGCAGCCCCACCGACCGGTCACACCCGCCATGTGCTCCTTGATTTCATCGGGAAATATCGGAAATATAATGTAATAATATAATAATTGGATGTGTAAATAATGGTCTTACAGTAAAGTATAAAAAATGTCAGTGAGTTTTTGACTTAATGATAGATTGAATTTTCTGACAAGGTCATTGTTTTGACTAGAGAACTTACGAAATTATGACTTAAAACAAGACTTTTGATATTCTTTTTTCATAAACTTGCTTGTAAGAAATAAGGGTATGATCATCGATATGATAAAGGACAAGCACTGTGCTTTAGGATATTCAAGGTTCCGTTCTTCTGAATGTCTAAGCAGATACAGGTCAGCACAATAGAACTATTAAGCGGTTCTTTTGTAGTCAGGACACTGTAATCTGTCAACCAGAATTCCAGACATGACACCTGAACGGTCGCAGTTGTCAATTTTCTCTTCCTCTTAAAAATTTGAACTTCGAAAAATCGTTTTTTTAGCCAGATCTTTAAGGTGATAGGGCCATCTAAAAGTACAAAGTGACACCTTTTTTTCATTAGCTGGGATTGAATGTGTTGCTTGGAATGCTTCATAATACTTTCATAGTAACTGCTTCATGTTTGTCATCAATTAAAGCGCATCGATATGATGCATATGGTTTGACAGCCATCGCGAGCAAGGTCCATCGGCAATAGTTTTCCATTCATTGTGGTTGATGGGTAGACACGTTCTCTTTCGATCTAGTTTTGGATGATGACTTTACAAATCTCACGGGAACCTGAGAGAAACTGTCCGGAAAAACTCTGAAATTATGTGACAGTGTGACTTGGGCTTTACGAAAAATAAAAATACCAGAAGGAAGAAATCCTCTATTTTTAATCTTTGAAGCATGGCAAAAGAAAGACGACACAATAATATGACCTCGACGTCTGAAGGGTGTCAGTCTATCAGCAGAACATTGGAGGCTGTTATATAAGACATAAAAATAAAATACAAACCATTTATCCAGGGAAATGATGTCTTAAGAATATATATCATATCACCATACCTTACAACTCTACCAACCTTATAATCTAAGTTTTTAAAGATGCTTAATCTCCAATTTCCCCAGCAAATCTGATTTTTATTTCCAAGGCACTTTCTGCTGCATTCTACTTCTGGCTTTTTATTGCTTTGTGTGAGATAGTTGCCAGAGTGACACCAGTCTGCGGCCTGAAACATATCTTAAACTATAATTGTTTTAATGATGATTATGCGTTAAAATTTGATGGATAGGGCCTTCCATCCTCTGGCTGATATTGGTGTCTCGGGCTGATACAGGATGTGATATGGAAAAGGCTATGTGTTATTTTCTATTTACAATATTATATAACTCATTCTTCAGTACTGAGTTCAGATGTGTGACCAAAGGGTTATTTTTTAAAAATAATCAATTTCATAATTTATGTATATTAATTGAGTAAGTACCCTTCCTGCTTCTGAAAAAAATTGATGGGAAGATAATCTGAAGTCTTAAAGAGGAGATAGGTGTCCAAATGTACAAGCATGTCTGAAATTTTATGTACGTAACTTGGTGTCCACAGTGACTGTTTTTTAAATCAATAAGCTATTCTTTTCTGGTGAATCCTTTTTGAAGTATATAAACACTAGTTTGCATGTTTTATTGCATGACTTATTTCTGCCTTATTCCATTATAATTAGAAAATATATCCAAGATTACCAATGGACACCGTTACTTACATAAGCACTAAACAAGTAACATGTTACTAGAATTTAACAAGTTGTTAAAATATGAAAATAATGTAATCAAAAAGGTATGATGAAATCATGTTTAATTTTTTATTAAATGGAATTTATTTAAAAAGTCACAATTTTTATTTCTAGTTTCAAAAAAGGAGAAATTATGTAAGTAACATGGACACCTAACTCCGAATCAGGCTTTAAAAACGAACAAAAAAAATAACAAGACAATCGAACACTTGTCTTTAATACTTTTAATATTTCATTTCAAAGCTTAATAATAGACTAGTTTTCAAAGAGAATTAATGCAGACAAGTAAATTGTCAGATGGATTGCTAAATATCCTGGGTCTTCTATTTTGAGTCTTGGATCTTTGTGTCATTGTTACGAACATAATTCAGTCATTTCTTGTAAATCTGAAAGAAAAAAATATATAAAAAACAAAATATAATATGATGTAATCAACACATATGCTGTTTAATTATATTTATTATATATCCTTGATAAAACCAGAAAGAAGGCAATTAAAGTACAAATTATGTCACTAATTCAAGTTTTCGTGTCTCTGTTATGAACGTAATTGCGTAAATGATATGGCAATATTAAAACAAATATTCAAAAAGTATTCATCCTTTGATAAGAGCAGAACAAAACTAACAAATATAGAATAAAATATAGTACAATATAACTTTATCATTAATAGATTATACAAATAATGCAAAAACACATGTTCGTAACAAAAGACGCGAATCAAAAGTCAAATGTTAAACCAAAAGTACTCGACTCGGACAAATTTATGCATTTTGTATGGTCATAAGCAACATATTTCAGTTTCTGATTAATGGCTACATGGTATAGAGATACAATGACTGTATTTATGTGTTAAAAATTCACTAAAATTGATACAATATGAAAATACTTACCGAATCTATTATGTACGTAACTTCTGTCTTCCACGTGGACACAATGAGCATCGCCATGTTTTTTTGCAGACAGCTGCACAACCTTTCTACTTTCGTTTTCAATTTATAATTATACCCCTGCTACGGACTTCCTGAGCCAAACTTATGATTCATTGGCTGTTATTTTAGCAATCATACTGAAAGCTATTATGTTCGTAACGGTCAAGACACCAAACATTTTACAATCAGAGATCATTTTAAAATTACAAAAAGAACTGAGTTATGTTCATGAAGCATATTGTTAAAAATAATTTATCATACATACTCATTAATTAAACACAGAAATTGAACTTGACAAATTATTTAATGTTTGTAGAGAGGTGTTAAAAAGTTCAATGCATATGGACACCATGCGTTACGAACATAAACCACAAATTTTTAAGTTCAGAAAAAAATAATTAGGATAATTTTAGCATGTTTGACAAAATAAATATATTATTTCATTTATATGCTAAGATAATGTACACATATATCATGCCAAATGGTTTTATTTTTAAATAAAACAACATCTTTATGCCTATTCGAAAATTATGTCACATTTTCTGCAATTGAAATCCCGTAAATGCAATACAACAATGATCAATATTTTTTTATTCCTCAACTCATATCCATAAAACTATTTATACTATATCCTTACACAAGTATCCAATCATATCAATATCAATCTATCTGCTTCCACTTTATTTATTGGAAAATAAAGGAGAAAAGAAATATATTTTAAAAATTCACCAGTATTGAAGAATGAGTTATATATATTGAAATCAGCTTTGACATTGACATTGTAAAATCAAATAAACAATACCGATTTTAATCTTTAACTGCAAGTTATTTATACAGGGAAATGACAACAAGATGTTTGTTTTAACCTTTATTTTGGCGAACATTGGTCGTGGCATAGTATTTTGTGGGATACCAATTAATACACACAACTTTTGGGCAAACCCACACAAATTAAACAACATTCATCAACAAAAACAAATCATATGTTCAAAAATGACCACCCCTGGTAAACCGCGGGTGGTTACTTATTTAAGGTTACTTATTTAAGTGTAATTAGTTATATGCACAATTCAAGCACAAAACAAATTATATCAACATATCAGCAAATATTTTACATATAAAATGGTTCAACACTTCAACCCCCTTCACATTTCAATGGTAAAGACTTCACAACAATACAGGGTTTATGTAGGCCTCAGTTGCTTTGGTGTGCGCAAACGCCACATGACAGCGAACAACCAAAGGAGAGTTCGCAGTCATCCCACACATGGGGGAGCACCCAAGCAACTGACAAAAAAGCCCCCACGGACCAATGTTCTCTATGTTTTGTTTAAGGATATACATTGCCTTGTTTTGACAGGAAAAATTCTAAACCCCAACCCCCCCCCCCTTTTGGATATTATGCAGAAAGAGTTTATTTCCTCGGTTATTGAGGTGTACTCCATCTGTCAACAGAAATTGTGACATGTTTTTCAATAAATCAGGGTACTTTATGTAACACCCCCCCCACTCTAAATCTAATGAAGCAGCTACCCTATTGGCCTAAAGACGGAATCGCTCCATTGCTTTATTTCCCCCGAGTACCTCCATTTATTTCGTGGCAGCATCTGTGACCAAGCAAGTGTCGAATGTGGAAAGCGAGTCTTAATAATCTTTAGATGGGATTTAATTTTCTCAATAAGAGTATACTGAACAATTGACCCTATATCGTTTGCCCCACAGTGAATAATCAAAAAGTCTGGAGATTCCTCGTATTCTGATATTTATTTTCAATGCATCCAATCCAGGATTTGTTCCCCGGTCTGCATACTGATGCCATCATTGCATTCTTAATAATAGAGGAGCCCACACACCAGATTTTAACTGCAGGGACCTCTACAAATTTACGCAATAATTTGAATAATTCTTGTTATATTTACAAAATTACAACTTGCCCCCAGCATCTGCCAAATAGGACATCTTATGTATGATTTATATGCCCTAGACTTCCAACGCCCAGCTGATTCCATTACATGACATCTTGTGAACAACCCCATTCAAATGCTGCAGTGGCTGCCCCGATACGAAATGAATGGGCCCTATAATGTCCCTGAACCCCCAAAACCTGAAGTGATTTTTTTCAAAACCGAAGAGAACTGATACCTGATAAGGGGATTTTTTCCATAGTGGATAAATAATGGCCCTTTAATTTTTGGTCTTACTGCGAGATAATCTATCAAAATTGCAACCGAACACAGGATTCCCTCACTTTTATCAATGGCTAAAGAAACCCTCTTTCTGTCCTGATCACATTTTGACATTCTTATTTGTACAAAAACCATGGAGTAATTTGCTTCAAATTAAACATCAATCACTTGTAAAATTGTATTAACACTATTACTAGTAGACTATGTGACTTCCCCTTTTCTGAGAAAAGCAAAGAAGGCTAGTATATAAGCAGCTCTGTACAATTTTGTTTCATAACTATCGCTTCAAATGCTCGGTAAAACCCTAACAACTTTAGTAAGCAACTGCAAGGTTATAGGTAGCCTTGCATCTGCAGACCTACCAGTTTTTCTCATACCCTCAAGAACCTTTACAACTAGAAAGTTCTTTGTTTCATCAACCCAATTATGGATTTTGCATTGAAAAACTAATAGAAGATAGATAATACATGGAAGTAGCATAGGAACACTTCTTTAGTGACAGATAAGCAACAAAGTGAACAACATCCCTAAGAGGTGGGGGCCATGAAATTCCGTACCCACATTCTTTCCGGAAATTATAAAATGAATTTTGTCCTATTTCGTATGCTATTTTAGTGTTGTAAGAGATTGAAGCATCTAGCAATTTATTTATCTGTATCTGTAAATTATGTTGACTAATTCTACTGGAAGAGAGTCTGGTCTGGTGCTTGCCTCTGGTGCCAACGTCTTGAAGCGGAACCACTGTTTGCGAAAAATAGAATCTGCAATTTTGTTATCCAAGCTACCAATGTGATTTGCCCTAAATATTACATTGTTGATCATCAGTCTAAGAACCGAATGTCTTACCAATTCCATAAGTCTTTTGGACTAGGAAGATTAGGTATTGATGACACTAACTAGTGAAAGGTTATCAACATGAAACTGAACTTTTTTATGTAGCAACCTAGGTTCCCATATCTCTATTGCTAAAACTACTGGTATGAGCTCAAGAAAAGTCATGTCTCTCAAAAGTTCTTGGTTGTTCCAGTGTTTTGGCCATTGGAGAAAAAACCAACTTCCACTAAAGTAACCCCCACAACCTGAACCTGTACTATCTGTAAATAACTGTAAAATGCTAGAATCTTTAGAATCTTCTCATACAGTATTAGGAAAATATGCTACCTCATTGAAACGGTTCAAGAACACCAGCCACATTCTAAGGTCACTTTTAATGCCAACTGATAATCTTATATGATGATATGGCTCGAAAACTCCACTAAATGCATCATACATTCTTCGAATAAAAGCTCTACTAGATCTGATTGCCTTTGAGAAAAAAATTGAGCATTCCAACTAAAGACTGCATTTCTTGCAGTGTAACTTTTTCCCTATCTAAAACAATTTCAATCAGACTCTTCAAGATTTCTAACTTTGCTTCTGGGATCTTGTCATCTCTAGTGTATCAATTTCGAAACCTAGAAATATTACTTTTGTCGTTGGGCCAGAAGTTTTCTCACGGGCTAGTGGTACACCTAAATCCCCAGCTAAGTTACTAAAAGTAGACATTAGAATTTTACATTCATCACTACCAGACCTACTAGCAAAAAGGAAATCGTCTAAAATAATCTAATGTATTCAATACAGACTTGAACTGAGTAAGACAGTGTAGAAAAGTTGCAAATGTTTCCCAAATTCTGCAACTAATGGAACACCCATGGGAAGGCATTTATCTATGTAATATAATCCATCTACAGAGAACCCTAACAAGTCAAAATCCCTTGGATTGATTGGAACTAAACGAAAAGCACTTTTAATATCCATCTTACCTATCAATGCGCCCCTTCCCAAATTTGCAATCATATTGACTACACCATCAAAAGATGCATATATACTCCACTGTACATAAATCTGGGTCTACAAAGTCGTTGATCCCCTGGGAACTAGAATAGGTTAAGAGTCAAAATCAGCAAACATCGAGCATTGAATGGAAAGTCAAAATTTTATTTTTTCAAAATCTTTTGTTATATAAAAGATTTTGTCCTATCTAATGCTAAAACACAATTAAAATTTTTTTGGAACGTATGAAGGGCCTGGTATCCAAGGAAATTCATTTCCTTAGCAACGGGTTCATAAATTTTTATGAAAATCAATGATTTTTAGCCATTTTTCTATGAATATGTTTTCTGAATGTGATAAGATAAGGTATTTTGGTTACTTTATTTGTTGAATGATGGAATTACTTCATTCTTCAGAAATAGGAAAATCAAAATTTCTGTAGTGATATTGTTGCCATGACAACGGGAAATGAACATGGCGTCAATGATTATTAATTTTGAAAAAATTACCTATGTTTATCACTATATATGCGAAATCTACAACCACTGCTGGAAAATTGAATGCTGTGATCTTGTTAGGGGTTATGTATACGTCATATCTATACAATAAAATTTGCAGGCAACTTTAGTAGGAAAAAGTAACAAATGGTTAA